TACGTGTTTGTATTTGTATATTTAGCACATTTTTGGTGCAGATTTGAAAAATCCAGTTTTGAATACCATAGATTTAAATAGCGTTTGGTTTAACGTATTTAATTTTTTAGGTGAAACACATTTTGCTCACTCTACCACTTTCTTAGTCTGCTTGTGTAAAGATAACTGGACCATTATTTCCGAGGTTTTTTTTCTATGAACGCTAGCTATGCTAGCTAATAAAATAATAATAATAATAATAGTAATATAATATATAAAATATAATAATAGTGACTTTTGTTGATTTATTCTTATTTTATTGATAGTGTTTCTTTGGTAAATAAAACAGAGAGTACGGTTTTCTAAGGACCTAACGCTAAACTATAGAAAAGGCTTGTGCCGCCATCAGAGTTACCGCCATGATTTTTTCTGCCGAAAACCTTGTTACAAATGCCAGATCCAATATAGTGTTTGTTTTTCCGTTCTTATATTCCTCTATATAAAATTCTTTATAGCGTGTTCTCTAACACAACTCTATAAAAACTCGATCGTAACTATTGTTCTATACATATACAATTTTACCATCACGGAAATCTTCTTATATGTGATCTAAAAATGGATTAGTTTTATATACTTAACGAATGTCAGAAGCCACCAGTCATTTGAGATATTATTTTTTGGATGTTTGACAGTTCTTTGGGAAACAGCCTTGGCATTCGTACTATACGGAGGAGACTGTTTTCTTCTTCTTTAATCTTTAATCTTCTTTAATCTTCGTTTTAATCTTTTTAAAAATTATACTTTTTTGGGTCTTATGTTTACCATAGCAAAAGACGTGTATATTATATTATTATTACTTGCGATGTATTGCCTTGACTCCTCATCATTTGAATGGAAATCGTCCTACGGCAATAGAACTATCGGGTAAAACTAACTACAAGCATTGATTGTTATAGTGGCGGACATGTGCGGAATACATGCAGGCTATTTCTGTTACATTGCTTGTGTCATATATTGAATGGTACGTGATTGGAGTTCAACTGGAGACTCTAATTCTATTTAATGTCGTTTAAATAATTGAATAATCAACTTGACAATCAATAACAACTATATACTCAATAATATCATTAGTCAGTCTACGTTTACACACGTATCGTTTTGTTTTAGCGTTCCTTACATCATATAACCCAGTGCAAAATTTTTAATACTATATGCTTTCGTGGCTCAGTCTAGTTCTCACAACTTTTAAGAAATAAAAATGCTATGGATGAATTAGCACTAATCAATCTAATAAAGATAATCAATCAAAGCGCGCAGAACTGTAGTTTATTTCTGTTATCAAAATTTAAAATCAAAGTTTGTTAATCATGAAGCTGCACTGCTTCTTCAGTTGACGTTTGACTGAGGAAGGGCATTCGTGAAAATCGACTTTCGTATAGCTCAGCCACTGCGTAACTCTGTGAGCCTTTTACGTCGCTAAGCGTTATTGAAAATCGAAGAGCTGTGACTGAACTCAAGCACCAACTAATTATTATATATAATCAAATGAACAAAAACACATAAGGAGCAATACGTGATTATAGCCTTAATTCGAAACTACGGCTACGTAATTCTGCCTATTCTTGGTTCACCGTTCGAGATTTAATGGATCTAGCTATAGCAAAGCTCAATGTGGAACAAGCTATAAAGTAGCAACCAGCGTGCTTCAAAGAAGTTTTCAAAGAAGAAATAAGAGTTGTTTGGCTTGCTTTCTGAGCACTTGAGTCGACTCGTGTGAAGCGGATTCATTAAAACCTTCGTAGCCAAAGACCAATCTTGTGTTCGGATTTAATCATATACAAGCCTCTTTTTTCCCCAAGTAGTCGCGTTTTAATTTTTCGTAGTATTCATATCAGTGAGTTTGAAGTGATTTATAGGAACTTGTCAACTCCACCATTACGGCTGTTGTTACCGAGGATATAGAGCGACTGTGTGCAAGCGGACCTGCAGTTAACATGAGCTAACATATATATGTATATAATAAGCTAGTTGTCTTGCTTGTGGTATGATCTTCTGACCTTGGCTAAAAGTCAATGCTTCGCCACTCTGGAAGGCGCAAGCTGCTATAAATTTCCTCATATTTCGGCTTCTCTAATGGGCAGTCGATATTCATTTGTCGTTGTGAAATTTTGTCGTGGTGTACGCCTACTCGTGGCTACTACGTGGCGGTTGGTGTAAGCCTACTCCTCCTCTCCAACATTTGCTTTATTCCTTAATTGTGGATTGATTAAATAATACTCCTAAACATCTGGCGAAACAAATGTTCGGACGAACTTTCCCTATTACCGACAGAACGTTTTTATTCTTCCACGCAGACTATTAGCTCATTTTCGATGTAATTGTTGTAGAAGACATTGACTCAGCTCGTACAATGATTATTCTCCCAAACGCAGGCCTTGCAAACAGGCGGTGATTCGAATTATGATTTCTGTCTATTAAAGAGAATATTTATGCATTGCGCAACAGAATCGACGGATGCGTCTTTAGTGACTGTTAAATACGAACGATCAATATGGTATGAATATGGTAGCATGTCTTCGGTGCGCTTCCGTATTTCATATGATAAGTTGGGGTTTGCGGCAGGGTTCTCATGAAGACATCTCTGGCGAGAAACAAGAAATTCAAAAAAAAA